TAAAAGGATCCCCAAATATAAAAAAAATCAGCACGTGAAAATAAATCTGTACATCAGCCATAACCAACAATGAAATCTTAGAGAAAACTGATACCACTCAAAAATGATAAGAAATAACTCCAGAAAGAATGAAGAGATGGAGCCAAAGTGAAAACAATGTCCACTTGTGGATGTGCAAACACCCTCTTCCAACAACACAAGAGATGGCTCGACACAGACATCACCCTTACAATTATACAGTGGAAATGACAAATAAGTTCAAGGGATTAGATCTGATAGACAGAATGCCTGAAGAGCTATGGGATGGAGGTTCATGACATTGTGACAGGAGGCAGTGATCAAGACCATCCTCAAGGAAAAGAAATGCAAAAAGGCAAAATAGTTGTCTGAGGAGACCTTACAAGTAGCTGTGAAAAGAAGAGAAGGGAAAGGCAAGGAGGAAAGGAAAGATTCAAGCATCTGAACGTAGAGTTCCAAAGAACAGCAAGGAGAGATAAGAAAGCCTTCCTCAGTGATCAACACAAAGAAATAGAGGGAAACAATAGAATGGGAAAGACTGGAGATCCCTTGGAAAAAGATTAGAGATACCAGGGTCTGCCTGCAATGCGGGAGACCTGGGTTTGATCCCTGGGTTGGGAAGATCCCCTAGTGGAAGGCACAGCAAGTCACTCTAGTATTCTTGCCTGGAAAATCCCCATGGACAGAGGAGCCTGGCAGGCTACAGTCCATGAGCAAAAGCCAATTCATAAGCTAATTAATTTCTGGTAAATTAACTATAGGAGGTTAAAAAAATGCAAAGAGTAATTTTCTGAAATTCATAATGACTTTAAATCGAGACCCAAATTATGTGATATTGAAAATGTTGTTAATCAAATACCTTTTTTTTTTTTTTTTTGACCTCTGCAGATGCAGTACCTTAGTTTCCCAACCAGGGATCAAACCTGTGCTCCCTGCAGTGAAAGTGTGGAGTCTTAACCCCTGGACCATCAGGGGAGTCCTCAAATAGCTTTAACACTAGGACTTATATAAGGAAGGCACCTCTTGCGTGGAGCAGGCAGTGGTCCCAACACACATTGATATACAGACTAAGCACAAGAGAAGGCATTAAAAATGAAGATCGCCATAGGTCACCTGAGAGATCTCAGGCTTAGGTTTTGGAGGTGAACCTGGGGCTCTCTGTTGGTAACAAGATCCCATGTTTCTCTTATGCAAGAGCCCTTTGACAACACTTTAGGAAAGGTGGGAAAGGAGAATCAGGAGATATCCTTTCTGGTTCCTCTTTTGGCAAATAGCAGTGCCATTTTTCTCTTTCTCTTTTCTGTTCCCCAAACACAAAGATGTAGGTAGCTGAAATGGACACTGGGTGGGCAAAGAGAAATGTCAACTACCTTTATACTTTTGATCTTAATATTCTTTAATGTACTTGGTTATTTATTTGAGGTTCTCTGCTATAGTATGCATAGTGATTTGGTCCAAAAGACTTAATCTATCCTCTGGTCTTGAATTCCAAAACTGTAATTTTGGAATGTGGTCTAAGTCACAGTGGTGCAGTGAAGCTGAAATGAGAAAGTAAGTAAAATGATATGTAATGCAAATGTGAAATCATATCTTCATTACCAGATTTTATTTATTAAAGATAGCTGAAATATTCTAAAGGTAAATGTCTATACTTTGTTGAATATGTATAGTTTTATTTCAAAAGGGAATCATATAACTACAAGCTCTAGATAAGAATTTGAATTTGAATTTGAATTCTCTACCTGAACAATGTACACATAAGTCTTTGATTTCTTAATAAACCAGAAAGATCCACTTTTCCAGACAGGACTACAAATATGATATCTTTCCTATTTTTCTTAGCTAACTACTTGACCTCTCCTCTATCTTCAGCAGTGGCCACAGAACTGGAAAAGGTCAGTTTTCATTCCAATACCAAAGAAAGGCAATGCCAATGAAAGATCAAACTACCATACAATTGAACTCATCTCACACGCCAGCAAAGTAGTTCTCAAAATTCTCCAAGTTAGGCTTCCACAGTACATGAACCAAGAACTTCCAGATGTTCAAGGTGGATTTAGAAAAGGCAGAGGCCCAGAGATCGAATTGTCAACATCCATTGGATCATCAAAAAAGCAAGAGAATTCCAGAAATATATCTTTTTCTGCTTCATTGACTATGCCAAAGCCTTTGACTGTGTGGATCACAACAAACTGTGGAAAATTCTTCAAGAGATGGGAATACCAGACCACCTGACCTGCCTCCTGAGAAATCTGTATGCAGGTCAGGAAGCAACAGTTAGAACTGGACATGGAACAGACTGGTTCCAAATAGGAAAAGGAGTACGTCAAGGATGTATACTGTCACCCTGCTTATTTAACTTCTATGCAGAGTACATCATGAGAAATGCTGGGCTGGATGAAGCACAAGCTGGAATCAAGATTTCCAGGAGAAATATCAATAACCTCAAATATGCAGATGACACCACCCTTATGGCAGGAAGCAAAGAGGAACTAAAGAGCCTCTTGATGAAAGTGAAAGGAAAGTGAAAAAGCTGTCTTAAAACTCAGCATTCAAAAAACTAGATCATGGCATCTCATCCCATCACTTCATGGCAAATAGATGAGGAAATGATGGAAACCGTGACAGACTTTATTTTCTTGGACTCTAAAATCACTGCAGATAATGATTGCAGTCACAAAATTAAAAGGAGTTTGCTCTTTGGAAGAAAGCTATGACAAACCTAGACAGCATATTGAAAAGCAGAGACATTACTTTGCCAACAAAATTCTGTCTAGACAAAGCTATGGTTTTTCCAGTGGTCATGTATGAATATGAGAGTTGGACCATAAAGAAAGCTGAACACTGAAAAATTGATGCGTTTGAACTGTGGTGTTGAAGACCCTTGAGAGTTCCTTGGACTACAAGGAGATCCAACCAGTCCATCCTAAAGGAGATCAGCCCTGGGTGTTCATTGGAAGGACTGATGCTGAAGCTGAAGCTCCAATACTTTGGCTACCTGATGGGAAGAACTGACTCCTTGGAAAAGATCCTGATGCTGGGAAAGATTGAAGGCAGAAGGAGAAGGGGAAGACAGAGGTTAAAATGGTTGGATGGCATCACCGACTCGATGGATACGAGTTTCAGCAAGCTCCAGGAGTTGGTGATGGACAGGGAAGCCTGGCATGCTGCAGTCCATGGGTCACAAAGAGTCAGACAAGACTGAGCGACTGAAATGAACTCCTGTATCTTAGCCATGGAAGGCAGAAGACCAGAATCTCGCTCTAGGATATCATTGGGCCGCTTGTCCAAGGTTCCTGGGGTTCACTTAGTAAAATGCACAGTTGCTGGAGCTGTTTTCAAGCATGGTGAGCAGTGGAGCATTCCGATCAGCTCCGTGTAAGTCCCTGATATATGAATGCCTTTGCCTCTGTTTTCAGCACTGTGTGCTGCTGTCGTAATCTGCTCCTTTGCACCCAGCAAGGATTACTCTTTTCCATTCAGTCATGATATCTGATTTGTACCCAGGTTATAGCTTTGTCAATCACATTTGTGTGCAGAACACTTGTTTAGCACCTAATGATGAGGCAGTCCTTCTCTTAAGATTCTCTGTTTTAAGCGTGGCAAGATTCTGCAAAAAATTCATTCTGCAGTCATTCATAGTGTTTTCTTCCAATGACCCCAGTCAGAAACTCTAATCCCGAGCACAGAGCATAAACTAGGTTGAAATCCTTTTGTTTCTAGTAGCTTTCTCTATTGCTAGGAAACTTTTCTTTCTCCCTGTGATGTTCTCAATTTCAAGGGGGTTATTAGGACCAGCAGCCTTCATCAAAGCAAAAAATAGATGCTTTATATTCTTTCCCAGGAGTAGTGTGTGTAAACTGGCATTTGTAAAATAAGAGGGGCTGATCCAAAGACTCTGAAAACAAAGAATAAATGCTCCAAACTGACTTGTGTTTTCTAAATCCTTTTTCCTTCACATGTCTCCTTAAAATTGACTCAAACTTGTCTTTTTTCCTTTTTGCTTAAAAATGAAAAGTTTAGCTTACCAGGCACAAACATAACCTTTTCTAGTTGATTCATATATCAAGAGATGTTTACATTGCTACATATTATGTACTTTAAGTTTTGTTATTAAAAATAATCTAGAGATAGAAGAAGAGCATTGAGTAAAATATAAATATTTTGTCTATAGGTTTAAGGTAATTTTCTCTCAACAAAAAATATTTGCCAGCCTGTAAACTATTCACATGTCCCTGTGAAAATGATATGCACCTAATGATGGTGATCACTGGAAGTATAATACCAATATTAAAGGTCGTTTCCATTTGAACTTTCTTCTAGACTATGATTATTTCAGGTATGAAACTGTGAATATGAGTTTCTTTGAAGTGAAAATATCAGTAAACTGGGAAACATGGACAATGAAGCTATTTTGTATCTAAATGATGAGGCAGAGGCACGACCTCATTGGATTTCCATTTTCTCTTATGCATAAAGGGGATATAATGACTCTTGCTCATTTTGTGAGCAAGATATGAGAAAAATACATATTTATGATACATCATTGAATAGCTGAACTTCTAAAAATTGTGTGCAAATTGATTTTTTCAGGTTGAATTAGAAATGCAATAGGAAAAATTTTTAGGAAATTTATAATACATTCTTTTATGGATGGTATTTTTACTTTTTAACACCTCATATATTTAGGTTAAAGCTTAATCCATTATTTTTCTCATAGTATTTATATTTAACCATATAACAATTCCCTGAAAATAGTTTGAAAGAAAGCTATAATAGTTTGTGATTAAACTTTTAAACTTTAGGAAGGTCAACATTCTAATTAAGTCCTTATAAATAATATTTGTAAATTATGTTAAAAATTCTGGCCAACACAATAATAGCCCCCTTTTTCCGCTCAAGTACATAGGTAAACAAATTTCAGGGCTTTTTTATTTCTATTTTTTTAATTCAGAAGGGCTATGAAGCATGTGGAATCTTAGCTCCCTGACCAGGAATTGAACCTGGGCCCTTGGGAGTGAAAGTGCTGAGTCCTAACCACTGGACTACCAGGGAATTCTCAACAAATTTCAGGTTTAAAAAGGCTAAGTTTGGAAGTTTCTGAGCATTTGGAATACTGATAAAGTGTTAATAAAAGTGATAGGGGACAATTTGAAAAAAACTGTAGTGTATAGATTAGAATTCCAACTTGAAGGCAATGACAGAACATTCTAAGCTTTACTATATAAAGCTTTACTATATGCTTTACTATATGTAGGTTAGCAAATACAGTACTATCAAATTTTGTGTTTAATGGAAGTTTAGTTTGAGGGAAAATGGTACATATTCTCATCAGAGCACTGTAGAAATTTATTGCTTATAAATATATTTAATTGTAGTACACTTGCTGGTTTAGGACTTTTTTAGTCATATTCACTTCATAATCACTAAATCCACCTGCAAACCTGGAGGAAGAAAAAGGAAGAAATATATGTACAACACTGGGTATATATTTATACTTAAATTATACTTAACTGAGCCTTAGTTTATGATTTTTTTCTAATTATGATGTTTACGTGGTTCACATTTGGTTCACTGATGTTATATAACTGAATTTTTATCTGCAGCTGGATAAATACACCATCTTGGCTTATTAGAATTACAAATCGAACGGTAAAGAACAATGGTGATTTATTATTAGAGCCAAGAGCAAAAGTCACTTAGTAACAAATTCATAAACTATCTATTCCAGCATTCACTAGTCATGTGAGGCATGTTTTGTTCCATCTTTTATGCAAGGTCTTCTCAAAAACGAATGAGATAAGAAAAACACATTGAAATACTTTTTATATCTATAGTCTTCTTAAAAATTTTTGTTAGTATTTTGCAGTGAAAAAATCTTTATCCTTTTTAAAAATTTCAATGTACCACTATTTTAACTGTATCCTTAAATATTCTACATCTCTATTTTTAATGGCTTGTGGTATATTCCCTGTGAAAAAGATACCATTAGTTCAATTGCCTTTTTCCTCTATGTGGTTTAGAGTAGAAAGATTGTTTTGTCTTTTATAAACATACAAAATGACATTGTTTAGCTTTCTAGGTCTCTTAAGTGGTAATTTGGGGAGAAAATAGTTCTCCTACCATAGCTGTTGTACAAAACGAAAAAGGTGAAACAACTGCTTCTGTCCCAAAGGCACAGCTGTCCACACTCAAAGTGAATGTCATTCCAAGAATCAATTGTGTGTTGAGAAACAAGCCACTCAAGGCACTAGACTGTATTTTCAAAAAGTAAAACAAAGGAATCTCTAGTTTATAGGTTTTTTTAATAGGAGGATAAAAGTGTAGAGTCATTCTTTCCTCATTTTTTTAGATGGCTTAAATCTCACTAATGTACTGGCACATTGCTTTACATTTACCTTCCAATTTTTTTTCCAGTGGAAAACTGTTTCAGCTTATACAAGGCAGCAGTCTTCATATGACCAAAATAATATTTACCCCCACCCCAAATGTTAACATTTTAACTCAAATGTCTAAAGTGGAAACAGCTAATAATTTTATTAGCCATAACAAATGATATAAATTGAAACAGAAAATTTTACCCATCCATCAAAATAAACATTTTCCAATTTGGTAATATTATATAACACAGTAACATTTTAATTTCCCCTTTTTGTTTAATTCAGGCAATGATTTTTATTTCTCCCTAATTTACTGATGGAGGATTGTTCACATTGTGAAGCATGTTTCTTTTCAAAGAGTTGGACTATCATTCTAAGTCTCATCAGCCATAGGAGCTCAGCAAATATGGAAACAGTTTGGGACCAGCAGTATTTAGATTCCAGGCTGTTGGTTCATGTTAAAGTCAATCCATCTGCTGCCCATGGCTCCAGAAGCATAATTAAGCTTCCTAAGAGTCTGGGAAGAGCCATGCACATATCAGACTCAAGCCAGATGGGTGCTGTCATTTTTTACAGGATGAGAGCAAGCAAAAATTGAAAGCAGACATCAGGTCATGTAAACTGGGTGTATGGGGGAGAGATTACTAGGCAAGGTTTCATATTTTAGTTGGCATACTGGGGGCCAGGACCTTACTCCAGGCATTCCAAATCCTATAATCTGAATGCCCATATTCATTACGAAGTTCACCAGTGTTCTTAAACCACTGCAGGACTTTGAAAGGACCTAGTGAACTGAAGGAGTTTGGTATGTGGTAGTGTTAATGTAGTAGATTGACATAGAGTAGGGATTGATATTATTTAAAATATTTTTTAAATATTTTTAAATTAAAAAGTACTTCAGATTTAGAAAAGGCAGAGGAACCAGAGGTCAAATTGCCAACATTTGCTGGATCATCAAATAAGCAAAAGAATACCAGAAAAACATCTACTTCCACTTTATTGATTACGCCAAAGCCTTTGACTGTGTAGATCACAGCAAACTGTGGAAAATTCTGAAAGAGATGGGAGTACCGGACCACCTTACCTGCCTCCTGAGGAATCTGNCTCCTTGTGATCCAGCAGATTGCATCTCTTGTTTAGAAAGGGCCTTTTTCACTTCACAATTATGCCCATTAATAGTGTGGTATTTCTGAACAATGATTTTATCAACTGTATCATGATCATCAAAAGTTACAAAAGCAAATCCTCTCTTTTTCCCACTCTGCCTGTCTTCCATAACTTCTATGGTTTCAATCTCGCCATACTTTTCAATGTAGTCTCTCAAATTATATTCTTCTGTATCTTCTTTAATACCACCAACAAAAGTTTTCTTCGCTGTTAGACAGGCACCAGGCTTTACAGAATCCTCTCTAGAAACAGCTCTCTTTGGTTTCACTACACACCCATCAACCTTGTGTGGTCAAGCTAACATTGCTGCATCCACTTCTTCAACACAAGAGTAAGTCACAAAACCAAAGCCTCGGGAACGTTTTGCTTGGGGGTCTCTCATCACCACACAATGTGTAAGTGTGCCCAATTTCTCAAAATGTTCTCTTAAACTATCATCTGTAGTCTCAAAGCTCAGACCACCAATAAACATCTTTGTCAACTGCTCTGGTTCCTTGGGATCATGAGCCTCCATTTTGAGACTGGACTCGCCTCTTCCAGCTGAAGTTCAATATGGGAACCTGAAGTACTTCAGAATTATTCCTATCAGTAGGGGGGAAAAAAAAGCTGAAATATTATCATCTGCTAACTTGAATAAAAGGATCTTATCTTCTTTAAGTAGACTCTGTCATTTTCAAATCAGTAAACATTCTGAACATTTTCACAGAGATCCCTCTTGATAAGCCTTTTTTATTTTCTCTACTTAGCAGAAAGACGCAAGACCCAAGATTTCTGAACCTAATACCCAGAACCGAGATTTAAGGGGATAAGTGATAACTGACATGACCTAGGGGTTCCCTCCTGGTTCAGTGGTAGAGAATCTGCCTAAAATGCAGTAGTGAAAGTGAAAGTTTAGTCACTCAGTTGTGTCCGCCTCTTTGCAGCCCCATGGACTGTAGCCCACCAGGTTCCTCCGTCCACAGGATTTTCCAGGCAAGAGTGCTGGAGTGGGTTACCGTTTCCTTCTCCAGAGGATCTTCCTGACCCAGAGATCGAACCCGGGTCTCCCACATTGTAGGCAGACACTTTACCGTCTGAGCCGCAATGCAGGAGAGCAGCGTTCAATCCCTGGGTGGGGAAGATTCTGAAGAAGGAGATGGCAACTCACTCCAGTATTGTTGCTTGGGAAATCTCACGGACAGAGGACCCTGGCAGGCTATAGTCCATGGAGTCACAAAAGAGTTGGACATAACTTACTGACTAAATGACAAGAAAGAATTATATTTAATCTCGCAATAAACTATAATGGAAAATAAAAAGGAAGAATTGATCTTATACTAGGAATTGCTCTTACATGAACACATATAGATGCTTTAATTATTAACTTATTTAATCTTTCTGACAACAAAATAGGTATAATCATTGTCTACATGAGGAAACTGGGCATATTGGCCGAGTAACTTGTCCAAAGTCATAGAGTTACTACCTATGTCAATTCGATCCCTGGGTTGGGAAGGTCCCCTGTAGGAGGGAATGGCAACCTACTTCATTATTTTTGCCTGGAGAATCCCATGGACAGAACTAGTCTGTGGGGTCACAAAGAGTCAGGCACAACTGAAGTGACTTAGCATGCATGCACAAGAGACAGTCTTTGGTCATATTTTTAGGCAGCCACCCCTGCTCTTTACCAGCAAACAGTATCAGTGCTGTCAGCGCATCAGCCATCTCATTAGAACCTTTGAAGGAGATTAAAATGATTTTTTTTTTTTTTTTTTTACAGCTGAATCTGGTGCTAATGTGCTGTTTTTCAGCACTTTGTAACATTTTATGGATTCATGGCTTGGAAGACTGACTGGTCCAGGCTCTCAGTGTTTTACTAAACCATCTCAACAGCCTCTCAGTGAGTTTCCTGCTTCCTTCTTCTTATCCTTTGTTTCCTCCACATGATATACTAAATAACTGTTAACTTTGAGTGCATTTAAATTATTTTTATCTTAATCTACCAATCCTAATTGATTCACTATTTTCACAGGCCATTTAGCACTCATGTAAGTTACTGTATAATTCCTTATACCTTCTTATTAGCATGGAGTCAAGATGGCGCTGAATGCATTGGGTTAGAATTCCACTTCATCCAATTGCTTGATATGTGATTAAAGACACGTTTCTTCTTCAGCAGCATGATGATAGTAATACATCCTTTTAGGTTTGATGAGGATTCCTTGAGATTAAATGAGGTAGTCTGTCAAACCCCCAGCATGCAGTCAATTACTGAGTAGGCCTTGAACATTTGGCGGTTCTTTAACTTTCTTAGTTTTGAGCCATTTCTTCCGAAAATTCTAAATTTCCTTATGGTAAAAATGAACAATATTGGTAGGAGTATTATTCTTTCTTTCATGCACATGTTTTAAATATTAATGTCAAATTTATGGATAGCTTCTTTTATGGCTTTGTACTTTATATCTTTCAAAGTTCTTCTATATTTTAAGATTGCAAATATATTTTTTGAAGCTTTTGTAGCTTTATTTT